ATAATTGTTTAAAATCAAGCACATTTCATTCTCTTTGCAGTAAGGTGCCCATAGTTATTTTTAAGGGGGACCTATCTTATCTCTAATTTTTTGTTCTATAGCCCGGGAAAAAATTTTTTTGGGTTTTAGTTTTGAATCCCTAGCAACTTTAATTTCATACCCCTTTTTAGCTTTTCTTATCCCCTTTTTAATGTCCCTCTTAATGCAATAACTGATTCTAAAAAATGACCCCACCTTTTTTATACCCATAAACCTTTTCTTATGCCCTAGTAGAATTTGCCTATTATTCATCCATTTTGGTCATTTCTATTTGATCTAATTTTTTTAAATTGGGATAAACCCTTTGAGCACATGTATAGTGTTCAGAAAACTGTCATTTTTTGATAGCTCTCTTCGTTACCCCATCAACAGATATAAGTGTTCTCTAACCCCACGTAATCTGTAAGAAAAAACGGGGACTGTTACTGTTTTTACCACTACGTACTTCCATTCAATGCTAAATGTAATTGTTTTTGTGGTCGCACACCCTTTCCTCTAAAATTTTTCAAAATTTATTAAAAAGGGGTTTCATTGTTTCCATAACTAATCAAGCAGGTTTTTTTTCCCCTTGTAGGTTTCTGTCACAAACTGCTTCAAAAAACAATCCTAAAAATATTTCTAAGAAGTCTACGATTCTAAATTCCCATCAAAAAAACCAATCAACATGACAAAGTTAAAGTCTCCTAAATTCACATTATGGCCTTGTGGCCTTAACAATTTCCTCCCATAGTAGTTTCCCTTGGTCCCTATCTAAGTTGGGGGGAGGGTATATCCTCCAAAATCAGTTTTTCATGCCCCTCTGAAATTCTATCCAAACAACTCTGTAGTGTTACTTCAGATTTAAATACCCTTTTTAAGCAACATTAAAGCGATCTCGACATACAATGCCACCCCACCCCCCCCCCCCCAAAATTCTATCTTTTTTGGAAAATTAAAACCCTGAATATGACTTTCCGCAGGCATGTCCCCGACTTTTGAATTAAACCACGTCTCAGTTAAGGCAAATACATCAATGTTACCTACACTAGCAACTAATCTAAACTCGTCCCATCTTATTCCAGCACTACGGCAATTTACATAATAAACATTAAAAGACTCTCCTTTCTCTTTACCCTTCCTCTCTTTTCTATTTTTTCTACAAAACCTTTACCGTCCTTACCCCCAAAGGGGCCCTGGCTTTTCAATACTATCTCGTTCTTATTATTACTTTTTCCCCTAGAACTCGTAATTTTAAAACCCCGGGACTAAAACTTTTTCCTGCCAAAACCCAACCACAAACAAATCCTGTTTAAAAACCTAACTGCCCCTCCACGCATTTGCCAGGCTCCCCCCCACACCTAATAGTGAACCCCAATCCTTAGCATACATGTGCCATTTCTCCATAAGAGGTCCCAGTTGTCAATGAATGTTACCGCATTTTCCCTTACAGTATTTGTCCGCCAGCATTACACCCCAATTGCCCTGTGACAACCCATTCACTTCCAACTCCCCTCCTTTGTCTTCCACTGTTACCGTGGGTTTCCCTCACCTTATCTTCCATCTTGTATTGTATTGCTTCCATACCGTGCAATCGTGGTCTCTCAGTCCTTACCTGTTGCCAACTCGCCCTTGTGTCCTCCAGCCCCTGTGTCCCAGATGTCACTCTGGTGCTCCCATTACCTTCATTTGGATGTTCTCCCTTACGCGCTACAATACCTGCTATTCCCAGTTCACCAGAACAAATTCTGTCTTTTATTTCATGGCCTATTTCAAGAGTAACAAGGTTCGGTATCCAAATTTTAACCTAAAATTTAGTTTTAATCAAATAACAACAATATTCTTTTATATTCCTTAATCTTATACGTCTTCTTCCCAGTAGTCAACTCACATTCGTCGGGTACAACTGAGAACCTTTTATTTTATGTTTCCTCAACAGTTTCCACGGCATCCCTTTCCTTCTTAACACATCTCTACTGTTTCCAATCCCTTCTTGATCTCACTTCTTTCGCCTGCTGCCCACCACTGACCATTTTCCCGTCTTAGACCTTACTCAAACAGAGTACTACTACGAATCTTCTTTTCTCCTCAGGGTCTCGCCGGAATTTTCCCAAATACGGGCCACAACTCAATTCTTCCTTTAGGCGTTGGTAAAAGTCGATGAAGAGGCCCTTTCTGCTCAATCCTGGGAAAGAGTCGCGCAAACAGGCCCTCACAGGCCCCAAGTAACTAAACAAGCGCAAGGAGCGCAACTCAATCGACGTACTAGAAAACTGCAGCAGAGCCGCACGCATGATGAAGTCAGCAATGAGTCAGTAGGTATCACGGTGTACTCCGTGAGGCAGTCTGATGAACACTCGCCGTAAAGCCGGCTCAGCAGTCCCCACCTTGGGTTGATGACGTACCCAGTGGTACTGTAGGCCGGCAGGTTAACAATCTAACCACTAGTTTGGTAGGAGGCCACAATACCTGCCCTCTTCTTTCCTTTCATTTCAAACCATTTCATACGGACGTACAGTAGTTTTATGGAGTATACAGCGTCAGTTATATTTTTAATTTGAGTGACTCTTTAAAGAATTTGTTGACCAAATTCTCACTTAGTTGAGTTTTACTGTAACGTTGCTATTCGTCCCAGGAACTCTATTCTTCTATATCTCTTTATTTCTGAATGACATAATAATTCTATTTAGGGAAATTTGGAGAACCGTAGTCATTTTTATTCTTTTAATGGAAATTAGAACAGACATCATCACGTATAAATATTATTCGAACACGGACATTCACTGTACAGATAGCCTTTCATATGGCTAAATTAATCACATATGTAATATAGACATAAAACAACTAGGAAATATTCAGTAATGCATAACATTTTTTACATCTTCTGTTCAGGTTCACTCTCAGAATATTTATTATCCAGGTATGAGAATATATATTATCTAGGTATGTTCTTATTATATTTATACGGATATTATCCACGTAAAATGAACTCAACTTTCCTGACAACCTCATAAAATCACTCATCTATATATGATGCACTCTACTTTCCTGACTACCTCAGCACATCTACCATCATACATTGCTAAACTCACAAACTAGTATTTAGTCACTTAGCCATAATACCAACTTACCTCATAATTTGTAATATTTTACAATTAAGAATAAAACTAAGTCTGCCCGAAATGCCTAGCCATGCTAAGCGTTCTAGTGGTACACTCTGTAATCACTATTTTACTACATGTAAACCACACAATAACCAAATTTCTGTAAACTCAGCATTGTAATCCTTATAGAGAATAAACTTTGAATTTGAATTTGAATTTGAATCATATTTACCGGCATCATGATTCATGCTGGCATCCAGCTGATGTTTTTAGTATTTATTACGCTATTTATTCCAACAAATATATTAGGTCATTCCAGGGAGAAGAAAGAATGTAAGAATTATAGGTAATAATGCGTATACCAGGGAAAGTTTATGGAAGAACTATTACTGAAAAGGTTAGGGAGAGGGTAGAAAGTAGGATTACAGAGGAGTAGGGAAGACTAGATCAAATGTTTACATTAAAGTACATGAGTACATTTCTGGATTCGAAAAAAAACATGATGGGTGAGCCACGAGGCAGGTGTTCCAAATGCATGGAATAGGAAGTAGGTTAGTAAAAGCAGTTAAGTATTTTGTTATTCAGAGTGTAAAACTCAGGTTTGGGGATGTAGGATTGTCTGTAAGAGACGGTAATTAAATGTCAACATTGAAAAGAGCCAGTTGATGAGAGTAACAAAAATATTGGCAATAATACACTAAATATCAGACTGGAGGGAGGGAGATAAAGAGGAAGTGGATGTACAAATATAAGTGGGAGAGAACATGTCAGCAGGTGGGTCTATGAAAGAAGTGTTGAACTAGAGAATAGATTAGGAGACAAGAGGTGGGTGGTGGAGTAAGAATAGTTTATCTATTGAGGCAAATAAGGAAATGTACCAGGTAATAGCAGTAACAGCGCTTTTAAGTGGGTGTGAGACATGGGTTTTGAATGGTGCAGCGAGGAGGAAGCAGTGGAAATGTCATGCTTCAGAGCAATGTGTGGTGTGAATATCCAGCAGAGATTTCGGAGCTTAAAAATTAAAAGGCGATGTATGGTAACAAATGGCTTAATTCAGAACCCTAAGGAGGGAGTAGTAAGGTGGCTTAGGTATGTAGACAGAAGTTGATTCTTGGATAAATTTCTATTATTAAGGAAATTTATATAAAGTTTTTTCAATGGTCGAGCGATGTGAGTAAAAAAATTAAATGAGGAAAGTGCAGGCAGATGATTTTAACAAAAATAATCTAGGCAATGAAAGATTGAATATCAAATTAAAGAGACGAATTGAATGAAATAAATGTGATCAAATATTTGAAAGCCGACTTGTCGGTGGATGATGGGTCTATGAAACATGAAAACAATAAAATAGATGAAGATAAAAAGAGTGGTTGATGCACTGAGACATTTGTGCAGACTAAGAACTTTATCAATGGAGGCAATAAAAGAAGAATGTACGTGTCTTGTTTGAGGACAATGTGTAATATGAATATTAAGCAGGGGAGTCGGAGCTTGGTGATTAGAAGAAGGTGCAGGATTACCAAAAGTACTATTCAGATGCTGGGAGGGTGTATGAATCAGGAGTGGAGGGAGGGAGAGGTAAGGGTCGTCCCTGGAACGAATGAAGGGCTGGGGTAAAGGAGGTTTTGAGTCCTTGGGGCTTGAACTTTCACCAGGTTATGAGAGTGTTAGGTAGGAGTGAGAGGAGGCAAGTGGATATTATAACTTGACTTGCTGATGTGTAAAGCAGTTATAAAAAACACTGATATGGAAGCGTGATTAATTTACAATGAAAGTAATATTCTTACTTAAAAATGTGAGGAGTCAGTCAAACTTAGTGACATATTCCTTGATTGTTATTAAGACAATCGCAAACTCACAGAAAATAAAATAAGCACTAACATGTATGTGAACTTTGTGGGCGAGCTTGAGGACTGCCAGGTCGTGGTAGGCTGAGGATAGGTGTAGTCAGGGTAGAAAACGATTTCAGAAACCTCATAGTCGTGAGGCTCAGCGCAGTCATCGCCGCTGTTGTAGTCGTGTTCGCCCAGTCGTACAATGTTTGCATTGCTGAAGTAATAACACTGATCAGTACTCTGGAGGTGGAGTTGGGTATTTATCATTATTTTCTAAGATAAATTTATCTTGTTATAATAGGAATATTATTATTTTCATATATTCAATTATATTTCAATAATTTGCATTTCAATACTTTCACTTTCTTTTTCTTCTGAACATCTAGAATTATTATTAATTTATATATTTTCTATTCTAATTTACAATTTCTTATGTTACAAAGGTTGATTCAATACAATTAAAATATTTCACCAGGCATTCACTCACTCATCTTTATACATTTTTATTCTTCCTTCATCCCTGATCAAAGGACATCGCTACACACAACAAATCTTCAATCTCTATTACGTAAAATTATTTAGATTTCTATCATCAATATTTTGGCTATTTAAAGTTTTAAAAAACACTGATATGTTATAGCAATCATCGGTATATCTTAGTATAAACTTAATTTTAGTGTTGTATTTGCAAAGAAAATTCAAATATAGTCATTTTTTTATTAACAGATGGACAGTTTGCAAAGCCAGGGTGGCGATTAAAGCAATCACTTTCACCAACTCATTCACTCCATCACTGTCTGTCCAGAGAGCGCACTTACATACAGTTGAAAACTGCAACATTAACCCCTTCCTTCAGAGTGCAGACACTGTACTCCTATCTCAGGATCAAGTCGGCCTGCAGACTTGAGTATATACAAATGATTGTATTCAGAATTTTCAGGCTTATCGCTTTTGTTCAGTGTTGCACTCCGACTGAGTCCATAGACTTCAATCTGTCCATAGGATTCTCTGATACTTATCTCCATTACGGTACGTTTGGTGAAGCATACTGTCTACGTGGAGTTTATTTCAGCAAAAAAACTGGGTGTTGGAGCAAAATCAAGTTTAGATTTGAATTCAGCGTCAAAAAAACATGAGTTAGAAACATATGATTTGTAAACATGAAGGAAACCATTGTTAGCCGGGGTATTAATAATTCCCTACACAACGTCCTTCCAACCCGTCCATAGACTGGTAGAAGAGGCAACATAGACTGGCAGAAGAGGCAACATAGACTGGTAGAAGAGGCAACATAGACTGGTAGCAGAGGCAACATAGACTGGTAGAGGCAACATAGACTGGTAGAAGAGGCAACATAGACTGGTAGAAGAGGCAACATAGACTGGTAGAAGAGGCAACAGAGACTGGTAGAGGCAACATAGACTGGTAGAAGAGGCAACATAGACTGGTAGAAGAGGCAACATAGACTGGTAGAAGAGGCAACATAGACTGGTAGAAGAGGCAACATAGACTGGTAGAAGAGGCAACATAGACTGGTAGAAGAGGCAACCAACACACAAGTACATGACAGCAACAAATGAAACAGCGTAAGTTAATTTTATAACATTGTTTCTCTCACTAAGATTACACATAAAATCTTGTGCTGTGATTTTTTTTTCCATCTATCTTCGTAGGCATCTTGTACCTCTTTTCATCCACCACTCATTCATATACTTTCTAACTCTATTTAGAAACATAATTTATACATAAGGAAATCCTTTTTAAGACATTCTTCTGTCAATTGTATTAATCCTTATTACAATATAATAATAATAATAATAATAATAATAATAATAATAATAATAATAATAATAATAATAATAATAATAATAATAATAATAATATCTTTATTTCTACAATTACATGTGCAAGGTATACAAACCTAGCCGCCATCAGTGGCATATTACTATATAGAAAGCAGAGAATTTCGGGCAAATTAGGTCAGTTTTGTCCCAGGATGCGGCCCACACCAGTCGACTAACACTCACATAGACAACCAATGTAAAGAAACATGCCCAATGTTTCTACCCTCACCGGAAATCGAACCCAGACCCTCGCCGTGTGAAGCTTTAGCCACCAGGCCACGACCACGCCACATACTGGCTTCTAATTCCTCAAGAAACATTGAAGCCACTTCCAACTAAATCCTGACTGCAATAATTAAGGAGAAAACTAAAAGATATGCATCAGCATCACTACATTCTGATACATTCTTACTTTACATCCAGTCAAAAATTTATCTCCACCTACTTTCCTTCTTTCATAGAAGACATTTGAATTTTCTTGCAAATATAGATAGAATTACCATTTTTCTTATTTTATCACTCTCCGAATTTTTTAAAGATGCTTAAAAACTCAGAAGAACAGGTGAGAACGATTTATTATTTTTTATTACTGAAAAAGTGTAGAGTAATCTCAAATTTTGACCATCAAGTGACTGACTATGAGAACGGAAGCCAGAGTAGATGACACAGAACACACCACGTGTAAAGAAATAACACTTAACCCAAATCCATCCTACCTGATTTAAGTGAATAACCTATAGACTCCGATCTGTAACGTTTATGGCGAATTTTCTGAGACAAACCCCTGCAGTCTGATAAGACTGTCAGCACAGAAGCCTCCAGAGGTATACACCAAGATCATCTCTGTTAACAACATCCTAAGGTAGAAAAAGAAGAAGAAAAAAGATGAAGGAGGAGGAGGAGAAGAACGATGATAAGGAGGATGATAAGAAGGGGAGGAGGAAGTGGAAGGAGAGGCAAGGAGGAGGAAGAGGAGGAGGAAGAATAGTGGTGAAGGAGGAACAGGACAAGGAGAAAGACGATAAAGATATTGCTTAACATTATTAACCCAACATAATTAATATTCCTGGATAAGCCAAGGAAGCAACACAGTGTGACGTGTATTAGGTAACCCCGAGTGGCACCTTTAAAGATATCGACCAGGATGATCTCTTAATAGTGAAGAGATTTCCTAAATGATGTTTGTGAACAAAGATGCAAATATTTAACTAAATATAATGATTAACAGTTCTCTCAATGTACTAGAAAAAAATTTAAGGTCTGTAGCTGGACAGCAACACGAAGTTCAGTATCCACATCCGGCAAATAACAAAGGTGTTCAAACCAGTATACATCCTCTCTAAGATATGTTACTATGTACACTACTTCAGTGCCAGACAACACAGTCCTCCACTCATCACAAGTTTAAACTTACTCAATATACATAATATTCACTCATACTTCTCTTCATACTATATGTACAGAACATTCAATTATAATAACAAAATTTACTCTGAAATGCTTCATGATAGCTGAAACATAACTCATAGACATAACACAAGACACTAAAAGGCATTTCATACCCCCATCGTGTGTAAAGGCTCAAAGCGAATAATAGGCTCTAAAATCAGGAACTCTATGCCTGAAGTTTCCAAATGTTTCTTACCTGTCAACCTCTTCAAAGCCACTGTTAACAAGCACCTGAAACCTATTTTCATCCAGTTCTGTCCCTGACGTCCATCTTCCAGCTTCCCTTTCTTTAGATGCATATACTATGTCACAATATTTGCATTGTATTTAAAGTAACTATTACCACGCATTCTGATAAACTTTGCAATTATATCTTCTTTAGAGGTTTTTATTATGAATTAACTGAGTAAATTTTAAGAATAGTATAAACTAAGTTTTGCTCGAGATGAAGTACATTCTTTGGGCCTTCAGTTCTTTGTGTCTTGTACAGTAATACTGAAATTTAGATTAGTATCAGCATATGCAGTTAACCAACATTCGTAATGAGCTGCAAGCACGTCATTAAGAACTGTCTTACTTAAAAATGCCAACAAATTGTTCCTGCAAAAAATTTCAGTAGTAATTAAAAGTTATAAGTGGTTTTAAGTGTATGTTAAGGCTTCCCGAAACACTCTGTATATCCAAGGTCTTACTCTACAGTATATAAATGTCACCTTTTCCGAATTAGTTACAAGATATACTTTATAGAAATAGTTTATCTTTTATCATTATTTTGTTGCCGTGTGGCAACTAAAGAAGTTTTACTGTGATTGGATTCAAAATACAAACTTTCTTGTATCCTCCTTAAAAGAAGGTTGGTATTATTAATGGAGTATGTAGGTGCCATTTTACCAATTTAATTTTGTTGCATTATTTTGCCTTGATATTTGGTTCTCGATCCAGTGAATTGGACTTATGCTCATCTTGCTTGAATCTAATCCGGGTACATTACATTCTGTATGACTCTTCCTGGTTTAACACTTTCCCCTGATTATAATAGAACAATTGTGAGTATCATCAGTCTTTAATGGCCGATACTCAGTTAAGGTGCTTGACGATAAGTTGTTTATCAGGGATTCGCGTCCCATTTCTTTCCAACGACTGTTAGTGCAGAGGTATTGAAGTTTGCGATTGAGTTTGATCTTCTGTTGGAGGTTGGCTGTGGTGACTGTGCTGAGAATATGCTCAGCAGTGTGTTGGTCAATCTGAAGATTGGCCCTCATATTCCTTGCAGTTTCAAAGGTTTCCTTAGCGATGTTAGAAAGTTCATCGGCACATTCAGTTAAGTAAGCTTGGGTAGCTGGAGAGAAGGGGTGCTTGGAGTTGGAGAGTTGTGCGGGAGTAGACTTAGGGATCACCTTCTCTGCCAGGCCATCTTGTAGGAAGTTGTGTCTGTTGCGATAGCTGTGAGCACGAAGAAGGGTGTCCAAATAACGTCTGCATGAAATGTCCATTATGTTGCGGTGTCCGACAGATTGTAATAATGTTGGTAGAATTACCGACAATATGTAAAGTAAAAGGACACAAGTGCAACTAATGTGACATTTTATTGTGGCAACGTTTCGCTTGACAAAGCTCCTGGACAGCGAAACGTTGCCACAATAAAATGTCACATTAATTGCACTTGTGTCCTTTTACTTTACATGTTGTCGGTAATTCTACCAACATTATTATAATAAATCACAGTCTTGGACTTGACTGGGTTATCGTAAGTGTTACGACTTTGATGTCGTAACTTAAATACAAAGGTCCCGGTTGCTCACACTCTGTCTTGGGGTTATAAAATTACAATGAAAAACACAGCAGCAACTCTAGGGCCAGCATGTACTCATACAAATTAAGAAGCATGAGTGCAAATAATTAATGTTGTATAAGCAAGGACACAAAAACCCACCTATAAAAAATTATACTTGACGTATTAATAATAAGTAACTTATAATCAACTTATAAACTACTCCAAAAAAACACCAGACTGCAGTTCACATTATCTCACTAGTACACTGCTACTAATGAGTTAAACAAAATAAATCATCAGGGAGGCACCAAGACATGCACACCCCCGTCTTCACTTGTCTGGTAGACTAATTACTAGCAGGTAAAACACTATACAGTACTCTCTCATAAACAGGCCTCTGCATACTAGGGCCTTACAAACAAACATGAGAGCACTTAAGCACAAACACCTGTAGTATACACTAAAAAACTTGCCAAAATTATCTACTCAAACTACCGCCAAAACATGATAACTTGACCCCATCACCACCCGACTCATACTGAACTAAATACACCTCTCGTCTGCTCCTGTATTGGCCACTGCCTGACTGACACGAATAAAACGCGTTCAATCCCGGTACTATGGAGCATTATTTTATAAAATATTTTTTCTGCATTTCACTGCGTAACAGTAGGTTAACTCTAAATGTTCATTAAATAAATCTTATTGAATTATTTACCTGCATTCTTACTTAAACCTTAAACACTGGCAAAGTTTCATTTATTTTGGCTAGTGTTGGTCCCAATCTGTTTTTTCTTTAGAGAAGACACTGCCAAAATTTAAATACTCATTTTCATGCAGTAATATCTGAGTGTCTCAACTAATTACCTTCAACTTTCAGTGCTGCTTGCCTATAGTTCAAATTCTGGCGGCTGGTTTATTTTAGGATATTGGTTCCTGTGAGATAACAAGAGGGTGAGCTGAATATATCTTTATCTGACATTTTTATTCAACAAATTTAGACATGTGTCCAGTTATAACTTGTGAATAACAAATCTGATTCTCTTCAAACCTTCAACGCTAACACTTCACTGAATTATAGACTTATCCCTCACTCTGCACTAGTCTTATCGCAAGCACTGACGTACGGAGGTCTGGGGTTATGCAGTACTGTGACAACTTTCTTACATCACTCAGAGACGGAAATACATGTAGTTTCCATTGGACGTCTTTTTTAGGGAATCTAGGATGCAACACACAACACCAGACTGCTCCAAGGTTCGTATTTCTTGCTAGACGCTGCTGGTGTTTGCATGTTGCACTGAATCGACTAGTTTAACATTAGTGTAGCGTCAATAAAATTTTTTTTAATTATCATTATTAATAATGATAAAACTTGACAAACCTAAGAGTCACATCGGGATGCATTTATAAGATTTGTGTTGAAAAACAAGCTCAAGTTGACAATAGGGAAACATTTATGGATAAAAACATCCCAGGTGTAAAACGTTTAGTATTGTAAAAGGACACAAGTGCAACTAATGTGACATTTTATTGTGGCAACGTTTCGCTCTCCAGGAGCTTTATCAAGCCATTAAAGCTCCTGGAGAGCGAAACGTTGCCACAATAAAATGTCACATTAGTTGCACTTGTGTCCTTTTACTTTACATATTGTCGGTAATTCTACCAACTTTATTACAAGTTTAATATTACAAAATGAGCGCCATTTTTAATTATTTGTTGATGTGTCAGGTGTGGAGATAATACATCAGTAGGAGAAGCTTCACTCACTGAATCACTGAAAAAAAGTGTTTTTGAAAGAATGTACAAATTTTTACTCCAATAAACACTCACTGAAAATGGAAGCAGTGTCTTGCTGTGAGTATCCATTGATCGTTGATAAGAACACCACCGCAGTGCCAGGTGATCACTCCCTGGGTATTCCGCTCTCCCAGCAGTGCCTGAGGATACACAAGATGATATTATTTAAATTACATTATTTTCATCTGTAGAAATTAAGTTCAACAAAAGAGATTAAAAGATCAGTATGTTGTAACAAAAATGCACAGTTATTTGTGGAAAGCAATTACGATTACTTATTTTATCAAAAAATACAAAAGTATTAATTAACTACAAATTATAACATTCACAGAGATAACTTTCATCTCCAACATTTGAAGCTGAAGTCTGCTGGAAGAAGTGACTCTTAGGATTGCTCTCTAAATATTCAGTGTGCAAATTTAAGAAGTCTGCACAGCATATCATTATATTAATAATCTGAAGAGGAATAAATATGAAAATTGTTACAATCGTCTATTACTAATTATCAGAAGAATAATGTATTTAAATGCCTTAATTATACTCGCACTAACCAGCAACTGATTAGGTTATACATCCCACATTAATTTAATTAAAAGCTTCTATAATTAAATTAATTAACAGCTTATATAATTAATTTAATTAGTAGTTTATATAGTTGATTTAATTAATAGATTATGTAATTAATATAATTAATAGTTTATATAATTAATTAAATTAATAGTTTATATAATTAATTTAATTAATATCTTATATAATTAATTTAATGAATAGCTTAAATAATTAATTTAATAAATAGCTTATATAATTAATTTTATTAATAGCTTGGAGACAAAGAGGGGAATGTATGAGAGTATAGTTTTACCAACGCTCTTATATGGGTGTGAAGCGTGGGTGATGAATGTTGCAGCGAGGAGAAGGCTGGAGGCAGTGGAGATGTCATGTCTGAGGGCAATGTGTGGTGTGAATTAATGCAGAGAATTCGTAGTTTGGAAGTTAGGGGGAGGTGCGGGATTACCAAAACTGTTGTCCAGAGGGCTGGGGAAAGGGGTTGTTGAGGGGGTTCGGACATGTAGAGAGAATGGAGCGAAACAGAATGACTTCAAGAGTGTATCAGTCTGTAGTGGAAGGAAGGCGGGAAGGGGTGGGCCTAGGAAAGGTTGGGGGAGGGGTAAAGGAGGTTTTGTGTGCGAGGGGCTTGGACTTCCAGCAGGCATGCGTGAGCGTGTTTTGATAGGAGTGAAGGGGAGACAAATGGTTTTTTAATACTTGACGTGCTGTTGGAGTGTGAGCAAAGTAAACATTTATAAGGGATTCGGGGAAACCGGCAGGCCGGACTTGAGTCCTGGAGATGGGAAGTACAGTGCCTGCACTCTGAAGAGGGGTGTTAATGTTGCAGTTTAAAAACTGTAGTGTAAAGCACCCTTCTGGCAAGACAGTGATGGAGTGAATGATGGTGAAAGTTTTTCTTTTTCGGTCCACCCTGCCTTGGTGGGAATCGGCCAGTGTGATAAAAAAAAAAAAAAAAAAAAAAAATTCTCTTTGTAGAGCAAGTAACATTATAGTGTTGCTTTTTTACGGCATAATTAGAGCCTTTCAAGTGAACAAGAAATTGTGAACATTGGTACAATGCGAAACTCTAAATGGTATAAAATACCGACAGGTTGTTAGGTAAGACACATATGCAACATTTAGGTATCTTTATTTCGAAACGTTTCGCCTCTTGGCAGTATATAAGGCTCCATCCTGTCACTTCAACTCCATATTGTTTCAGACTATGGAACAATACTCTTCTCCAGACTGAGGGACTGACCACCTCAAAACTTCAAGGGTGATGGACTGATTACATCGTCTTCAAGTATCTTCTGCTTCTATCAACTTTTCTGTACTCGACTGAAGAAGCCTACTGTGTAGGCGAAACGTTTCGAAATAAAGATAACTAAATGTTGCATATGTGTCTTACCTAACAATGCGAAACTCCTTATCTTCCAAAAGTACCCATTAGAAGAAACTTGCTCCTTCACAATTTGAGTAATTAGTTGAGATGTGAAGCAGTGTCGTTCTAGATCTAGAAAATGATGGGTCTATCCAGTAAGGGAAATTCTCGTCATCCAAAAGTAATGAATCACAAAGCTCAAACGACTTTTTAGACCCACAATCACTCTTAACAAAAAACTATGAAAGTCAAGGTAGTAAAATGGTCTTACAGTGTGTTACTCTGTAATATATCATAGTAGAAACTCATTGAAATCCCACCCTTGAGTTTCTTGCCAGAATAATGGTTTTAAGTCATGCAAGTTTCTGGTACATTCACGGCAGGAGTTTTGATTGTTGATTGTCACTTTTCTGATATGGTTATTGGTTCATTAAGTTCCTTCATCTTTCTCCTACCTGAGACACTGTCTTCCTAGAAGCACGAGCAACTGCTAAATTATATCCTAATATGTTCCTTGTATACAGTTTGTAGGATTCCTATCCCTCACCAAGTTTCTATCACAGTGAGGTACTGGACTCCATCTTGGATGCTACATGACACTGGCAAGTGGGAAAATCATCATCGGATGTTACTGGATCGTACAGAACGCAAGACAAGCTTAACCATCTCACCTCAGACAAGTTTCCTTCCAGGAGTCATTAGATAAGAAAAGTGTTTGATTTTGTTGGGCTATCTTAGGTTAAATCTATATAATGTGCTTTAATGTATCCATAACATCTATGTGGCCCGAAGATTATTATAAAAAAAATATGTTATGTACAAAATGCTTAAACAAAGCTTAAGTACCTATATACTTACCTACATATTTAAGTTTTTAAACGCTTGTCGTTGCTACTAAAAGAAAATGTTGAAGCGATTTGTCCTATGCACGTCCTAGTTTATTTTTTCTTTTGTAGAAATTGGAGAAATCGAAATACTGCTTTTCATGCGATAATTTATATGTCGAACGAATTAGATACGAACCTTCAACGATGGTAAATTGGTAATGCTACTTCTTAGCAGTTTCAAACTCTTGTAAATTTTAAGATAATGATATCTTTGAGATAACAAGAGAATGTCTCTTCAGTTTAGCTTCAAAGCTGATGTTTCTTAAAAAGAGGATTTTTATTAGCCAAAATCTCATATCCTTATAGTATGTAATTCCGTATGATATGACATTCCTAATTTACCTTTTTTATTGATTTTTTTATTACTTCCTATGTGATGACTTATGAATTCTTCTTCTGTAACCTTGTGCCTCACTCAGCACTATTTCAATATAGCTGTAGTAAGGGAACCACGGTTATGAAATATAAGGATACCTTTCTCGGATCGCACAGTAACCGCAACACATCTAATTAGTAACTGAAAGTGAGGAGAGGATTTCTGTCCCCTTGTTCCGGCCATTTTAGTCTCTTTCTACGACACACATATTGCTTACAGGGGAAGAATTATAATTCATTTCCTCATGGAATTAAAAAGAAACAACACGAAGACGAGAACAGCTAGGAAATTAGAAGGAAACTCATATGGAATTATTTGCTAATTTAAGGCATAAAATAGTGAGAATTATTTTTCTGTTAAATCCCAGTAAATGTATTTGATCATTCCTCTTTTGAAAGGCTTCAGTCTTATGTAGAAGCTGATGAATGTTATGTAGAAGCTGATGAATGTTATGTAGAAACTGATGAATGTTCTGTAGAAGGCATTATCCAGTAGGTTCAGTCTATGTAGATGATGATTTGACAGTTTACTACCATAGTTAATAAACTTGGAGTCGTTCAAACGGAATAATAATAATAGGATGCCTTTCACTTATCGGACTCAGACATTCAACTAAGGTGGCTTTATTAAAGAAGAAGTAAGATTCACCTTCAGTGGTGTAAATTTGGATGTGCTTAAATACATTCAACAAACTGGTTTCCATGTAATAAATGGAGGAGTTTAAGGGCTGAGCTTTGCTCACATCTCTACAACAACAATTGTCATCAAAGATTTGTTAAGTTATACCATGAATTAAGGAAAGATCCTGGACTTCACCTTAAAAAATAGACATAGCAAATGCGATAGTAATTATGGACAAGGTACATTATAGTGACAAAATGTACATAATATTAGGAGACGGGAGAACTTATGTGCTTCTTAAGCCCTAAAAGTTCAGAAAATTTTCTGCATTCGCTGTTAGGAGCTGTAGAAAACAGCTTTCAAATTTAATTGAAGAAATTGTGAAAATTTAAATACTGGTTTTCATGTAATTATTTATGACTGCCTTACCAAATGGGTTTCAGATCATTAACACCGATCTATCTTATTTACTCGGTGATTGTTATGGTTACTGGGCTGAATAGGCACCATCATAAAAAACGTTGCTTCATTCTTCTGCTGTTTGTCTCGTAGCTGAGATAGAATATGCAAATTGCAGTTTTGTAATGTTGTTTTTATATTTCAAATTGTTCGTAGTGAAAGGTTACTTATTTACTTAGCATAAATATACGATTGAATTTAAGGAAAATACTGGACATCCCTTAAAATTCTTTCCATCTGTCAGCCTGGTTAAATATGACCATAATTTTTAAAGGGGTGGACCAGTAAGCCAACGGAACTCCTTGGGTAGATGACCATAAGCTCCAATGGCGGGTCATCATCTGACTAAGACCCTCGTCAGGAAACACTTGTCCTGTTTCCTGACAAACCTTACCTAACCTAACCTATCCTATCAGCCTCGCATTTGTGTTTAATCTGTGTTGTTCACCATAGTGGCACTGAGCTTAGGAAATTATAAAAGTATATTGTTATGAAAAATTTAAGGCACCTACCATCCAGGGCCAGGAATTTATGTCTGCCGGTGTTCCGCCGACTGCGGCCTCAATTGATGTGTTGAAATTGCTCCGAAGATTCCTACCAAAGGAACTTTCGAATTTGTCACAGGGAAAATATACGGTTCTAGGACTGCTCAGACCACACTCTGAAACAATAGCTTCTTTAAATAAAAAACAATTTTAGAGAGCAACATGGTTCGTTGATTACAAACAATTATTTTTTTAAACTTATTTGCTTTAATTAGCAACAAAACTACTTACCGTCAAATCGAATTTAAAGACAGTTGCTCACCAAAAGTAAAGTTGGGAGAAGAGATATCCAAGATGGCTTCAGGTACTTCATGAGGTTTCTTAATCACACTATCTGCAAATTTTTTTAATGATATTTACAATTTATAAAGCTTTCCTTAACATTTTCAGTTAAGATATAATGAAAATTAGACATATATGCAACATCTGGGTATCTTTAATATAGACTTTTTGCCATCCAGTGGCTTTATCAATGCAAATTCTAGGACATAAGTGGAAGACAGTAGAACTATATACAAAAGATGAGGTAATCAGTCCCTCAACCTTGGAGTTGGTGTGAAGAGCACCGTAGCTGTGAAGTACCTGGAGCACAGGCAAGAAGGCTGGTGCTTATATACTGGCGTCAGGTGGAAAGGAGACGGGTAGCAGACGAGGGCATAGTCACTGGCAGGCGGGATTCTCCAGTGGATGTAGGTCATACCCAAAGGACGGGTTCGTAGAAGTGAAGAAGGTTGTGGAGATGTCCTCTGAACCAAGATTCCATGATGTTGCAGTGTTTGACAAGTTGTACATGAATGGTATACAATACCGACAAGATGAAAATTAGGCACATGTTTAACATCTGGGTATCTTTATTGTAGACGTTTTGTCACCCAGTGGCTTTATCAATACAAATTCTAGGACATAATCTGAAGACAGTAGAACTATATACAAAAGATGAGGTAATCAGTCCCTCAACCTTGCAGTTGGTGTGAAGAGCACCGTAGTCGCCAGTATATAAGCACCAGCCTTCTTGCCTGTTCTCCAGATTCTTCACAACTACCATGCGCCTCACACCAACTCCAAGGCTGAGGGACTGATTACCTCACCTTTTGTATATAGTTCTACTGTCTTCAAATTATGTCCTAGAATTTGTATTGATAAAACCACTGGATGGCGAAACATCTACATTAAAGATACCCAGATGTTGCATTTGTGTCTAATTATTATTATTATTATTAAAGATTAGCCGGTATTCTCCCGGCCCGGGCCTTTTCCATGTGGTGGCCCGGCCTTGGCTCCCTCTTTAGGGAGTGTCTGAGACCTAAGTCTCCCATGGGAGGAGGCACAAGTACCTCCTCATCTTTGGGACCAACTGTCCCCAGGCCTAGCCACAAGCTAGACCTCTCTGGTCTGCCATCCCCGCCCCAAGGGAGCTAATGGGAATGACAGTCTTGTGAGCTGAAAGCTCCGGCTCAGGCACCTACCCTACCCTAGAAGGGCTGGGCATGGTGTCGATTGTGTCTAATTATTATTATTATTAAAGATTAGCCGGTATTCTCCCGGCCCGGGTCTTTTCCAAGTGGTGGCCCGGCCTTGGCTCCCACTTTAGGGAGTGTCTGAGACCTAAGTCTCCCATGGGAGGAGGCACAAGTACCTCCTCATCTTTGGGACAAACTGTCCCCAAGCCTAGCCACAAGCTAGGCCTCTCTGTCTGCCATCCCCGCCCCAAGGGGACAAATGGGAATGACAGTCTTATGAGCTAAAGGCTCGGGCTCAGGCACCTACCCTACCCTAGAAGGGTTAGGCATGGTGTCGATCAGTTTGTGTCTAATTTTCATCTTGTCGGTATTGTATACCATTCATGTACAAGATATAATGCGCCCTAAACAAATATCCAAATAAAAATTTCCTATTGAACTATTAGGTGCGTAAATCAACATTTCTTCAATTGATTATTGTACTCATAACTTTCATAGAGGGAATCATCAAAGAAAAGTAAATACACATGAATGGTTTATAAGTAGAGGGCGAGAACAGTTCTCAGGTCACTGAGATCGTTCAACAAACCAGCTGTTCAGATTATTACAGGACTATGTAGGTGCCAATTTATGAATATCACTATAAAGAAATGCGATAATAACTATATATCTAAGAGGAAGGTTTAAAATACTTTATTCAGTGTAGGTACAAATTTGTTAATTGTGTAACATAACTAAGAAAAAAGTGGGACTTATTTGTTCATATGCAATAACTGGAGAATGTCTCACCAGAAAGGTTTCATACTTTCATAGCTAACATATGTTGTTCTTAGAAAAACTTAAGATTCCAAGTTTGAGAATTGTATTAAACAATCGGGATATTGGCATCCATGCTATAACTTCAGAACGTCTCGTAAGATCGGATTCAACTCTCAACACAATCGCATCATGCTTAGTGGAAAGTTCAAACTCGTTTCGTGAAGAAATTATGATAAGAGATTCTGTGCGATTACTTGAGACTGCCTCTCTACATCGGTTTCAATTCCATAACGTTGCATCGTACTCAGAGGATGTTTCCAGTAGGTACTGGATTGTTAACGGACAATTCTCCAATTTTATAACAAAATACTAGGTTATTTAAAAAAAATTAGTTATATTCAGCTGTTCATTATATATTTCAGAAAGTTCATCTTAGTGTAGCTATTTTTTAGTACAGTCCAATAACAACCAAAAACTTTCTCTACATACAAGATATTTGAAGTTGATATGAAAACATATTCTCGAGTAATTGCATGGAAATATCGTTTATTTTTCTATAAAATAAGCAAAGAGTTCATGCGGGGATACGACAACAAGGTCATAATGGGCATCAATCAGAACATGTTGCAAAAAGTTAGGCCTAGAACTAAGTAACTAGTCACAGAAATTTTCAACACCTAGAAAACAGACTGAGTTTACTCGGATGTGAATGGAGTAGACGATAAATATCAAAATAAATCTTACTTTCCTAGTTGTTGGTAATGCATCGTAGAGTAACGTTTGGACTGAGTTTAACCTGCTGGAAAAAATGGAAAAAAATGAAATACTGCTTTTGTGCTTTTCATGCGATAATTTCAGAGTCGTATTTGATTAGCTTCAAGTTTTCTGTGCTGGTAACTTGATCATTTAATATCTGAGCTGCTTCAAACTTAATATGCTTGATTTTTGTTTAGAATTTCGGTCTCTTTGAAAGGTTTGAATTAGATTTGGACTATATATGTCCTAATTTACAATTTTAAATAGAGAAATTTGAATAGCAGTTTCCATGTGATGTCTCATGAATGTCTCTCTTGATTGTCCTTTCAAATCTTCAACAATAATATATAACCGTATTATCAACTTATGAGGCACTCTGCACAATTCCAGTCTCGTGCATCCAGGCACAAGAAACTGGGATTATGGAATAGGGGAGATACCTTCCTTGGATCGTGCAGTGACCGAAATACCTTTAGTTATTTTGAGAGGAACTAGTCATTTCTTTTGGTGATGCCAATGGGCAGATGAGAGAAACATGGGGAAACCATCGCAACACTGCCCTTATTAAGTTATAAAAGATAAATTAGTGATTTTGAAAGGTACTGGTCATTTCGATGTGTTTCCAAAGGGCAGATGGGGGAAAAAAGACATGGATCATGTGTGGATTTTAGTATAACTGCATTGGCAATTGCGCAATGCCTATAGGAATGTCAGAACTCTACTTCGTCTGTGATGCTAGAACTATTCAAGGTATATTACAATGTTTGCTGTATTTCTTGCTAATATCTAGAGCTGAGAGACTTTAGAGAAACATTATCCATGGTGCCTGTGTGTCGTTCAAGATTCCTAAAGGGGCGCAAGGGGGCTTGTCTTTCAGGAATCACAAGGAATGATGCTGCATATCAACGCTGGGTACTTACCTCTCAAGTAAGTTCCAAGTTCCTTCCTGTAACATTTTCAGTGACATACATGACAGACTCAGATACACACGATGCACAAAATAAGACATCCAAAGCTGAATTAAAGAGGCGTCATCAGTGTCTACAGAAGACAATGAAAGCATTTTCCAGCTCCCTTAGCCAGTTTCATCGGTCAGTTTGGAAAATCATGCTCTAAAATGTGTCATTAGGTGCTACAGTACCATATAGCATTTGTTAAAAGCCGAAGAGAAAGGTGCAAAAGCTGCCTTTGTGGAGCAAAGACCCAAAAGAAATTCTGATGTCTTTGAGCCAATATGGAAAATGGGTTTCAAAACTATAGCTAATACGAAGAAGAAAGTGAAACTTACCTCTTAACGCAAAGTGATAGAATTAAACTCCAGCACAATATTGTGACAAACCTTGTAAAACCGAAAACTCTTCAGAACAATATGGCAGAAACCATGAACTATTTTTTCACACTTTTGCCATAAAACATAAAAACAGCTAAATGAAACCTTGCTCAGACAAAGCTATAATCAAGTTGATGTTGATAAAGGAGGTCAAGGATGAAAGGGTGTCCACTGAAGCACTGTTTATTACCTCAAAGATCTTCCTGATAACTTTAAACAAGTATTTCCACACTCTACAACATAACTAAGCATTATGGATACGTGATATATAACAGTTTCACACATCGAACGTTCAGTCAAGGTCGTGGAGCGCAAAGGGAGTGGTGACTCAGAGAAACTAATTGTCAGGCGGGATAGGAAGAGCCTTCTAGTCAATGTGGAAAACAAGCAACAGTTGATTGCACAGATGCAAACGTACAGGAGTGACTTAGTCAAGACAGGAACGGCTATGACTATGTGCGAGTGCGCCGGCCCGACTGTGACTTTTAGGATCTTGCTCTATCATGCAAAGTCGATCAGTATCACTTTTCTTTTTGATACAATATATGGGAACAAAAAGAGGCTCATTAAATTCATACATCTATCATAAGAATACAGTGAAAATCTGTGCAAGACTCGGGCTACATTTCAATAAGCTGATTCTAAGGCATAAGGAAGATCCATCCGCTAAAACTAGTCAAGTCACCAACACACTGAGACTCTCAGTGGACTTATTAAGCAGTGAGAGGTGAGTGATGAGCTGTATTTGCAGGTGTGAGCATTTCAGTTGTGAAGCCAATAGAAATGGAAGTGTGAAGGTATAACAGCCCTTTCAGACCCTCAGCTGGTATTTGAAAGGGTCCTTCCTCCTTATGAAAAGAAAATAATAGAAAAATTAATATTAACTGGTAAGAATAAGCAATTGTAGAGAAAGTACGCAAAAACACTTAAAAATGAAATTTTCCCATGTGAAGCGAAATATGAAAAAAAAATACTTATACATGAAAAGGACAAAGGTAATCCGATGTGCAGATGGACGTTGCACGTAAC